GATTGCTAGCATTTTTTTCTTGAATTCCAAACAATGTGTGAAAATGCAACGTATCGTGGCCGTACATGCGTAAATGCATCTTACCGTCCGTCGGCACGGGTGAGTACTGATGCCACAAATAAAAATGTTATGGATTTTGTTTTGACAAATTGTCTGTTTTGGCTTCGTGGGCAAATCATCTCGTATATTTTCTACATTATAACTCAATTATGTTTTGTACTTGCTCTTGGTTACTCGAATTGCATTTCATGAACGCAGAATAATTTGCGAACGCATAAATCACCGATTTCAAACTTTTTGCATTTCGTAAATATTGATAGTGACCAATCTGTTTGTATTTCAAAAAAATGTAACATGTTCCAATTAAATTAAATTAAAAAGAGAGTAGTAAATAACTTAGTGTGTATTGCAGTTCATGTCATAAATGCGAGAATGCTGTATGTAAATGATATGCAAATTGATATGCAAATTTATGCTAATTAGGCCGCCCACCAGCTAATTTGGATTGTGGAGAACACTGGATTGTTCAAAACACGTGTTCCATGTAGTACTTAGTAATATGGCCAAAAATAAAAACAGCCGTTATTCGGCCATCTTTGATCTGATTATGAAACACACTGATATGTATGATGTATGTGCCAAATACGAATGAAAATGGTAGATAAATTGTGGAAATATAGTAGTAAGGCCAAAAAGTCAGATGGCTGTCAATTGGCCATCCTTGACCAGATTTTGAAACAAATTGTCATGGACATGCATCCTTACATGTATAAAGTACATGCATGTGCCAAATTTGAATGAAAACTGACAGAGCACGTCAAAAATACCGCATAAAAAAAACAAAAACAAGATGCCTGCCAGGCGACCATCTTTGATCCAATTGTGAAATAAATCATCATGGACATGTGTCCTAACATGTATAATCCATGTACCAAGTTTGAATGACAACTGACAAAGCATATCCAAAATACAACATTTTCAAAAAACAAGATGGCTGCCAGTCGGCCATTTTGAATCGAATCGCTAAACCACCGCATGTGCATATGTCCCCACATAAGATACGAGGCACATGCAAAGAATGAAATACAACTATGGACAGACTGATGCACGCACAGATGGACGGACGGACGGACAGACTCGGGAACTCACGGACAGTCGGGGACATGTATCCTAACATGTATGATCTATGTACTAAATTTGAATGACAACATGTCCAAAATACAACATTTTCAAAAAATAAGATGGCTGCCAGTCGGCCATCTTTGATCCAATTGCGAAATAAATTGTCATGGACATGTATCCTAACATGTATAATATATGTACCAAGTTTGAATGAAAACTGACAAAGCATGTCCAAAATACAACATTTTCAAAAAACAAGATGGCTGCCAGTCGTCCATTTTGAGTCGAATCGCTAAACCACTGCATGTGCATATGTCCCACATAAAGTACGAGGCACATGCAAAGAATGAACGGAATCGGTCCAAGGGGACTAATTATGCCTTGTTTATCTTATTACATAGGGGCATATTACCGAGACATACACAAGAAATGCACACTACTAACTTGCAATTTTGGATGGTATACCATTGAAATTACTTACGTTTTAAGTGTTCCTGAGGTCATGAGTTCTGTAACAAGCACAATATATTTGCGTCCTCTGCCTGATGGTGGTGGAACAGACTCCCAACAATCAAAAAATCTTACTATATTTGGATGGTTCAGCCCCTTTAGCATTTCTGCTTCTTCCTTGAATTTCTGCCTTTCAGACCTACTTAACCTCTTATCCTAAACAAATAATGAGAACAAAAAATCTAATCAGGTCTGCAGATAATTCCATAGGACACATTGAAATATTGGTGTAACAAATTTAAATACAAGATAAATTCAAAGGCTTACTCAAAGCAAAAAAAAGGGGCAAGAATGGGCCTAATATGAGATTATCACCTAATAATACTTTTGTAGAGCAAGCTGACACAGTAACTGTATATGCCACGAGAACTCTCGACTGCCAAATCTGATTTTCAGGAAATTTGCTTATGAATAACACACAATGTTGAGTTATAATAATTTATCCATGGAAATTAATGATACATCATTCTAAAATTAACAAAATGGTCAGCATCATTGTACATGTATTTATAACATTCCCTAAGACACATGCTGGCTGAAAAGTATTAATGACCAGTATTGGTGTTACGTCATTTGAGGCAATGACTCATAACAAGTCATAACTTGCAATGACAGTATTAACAGTGCTCAGTTGTCACAGCATATCATACAATGGTGGCCATTTTTCACTTTGTGACAAGCAAACTACATTCTGATTTGTCACACAGCTGGTGCCAAACAACAAATAGAAAATTTGCAAGCACAACTATGATTCAATAAGAAACAAGTCATTGAAAATGACACAGTCCCCGTTAAATTTTTGAAAGTTCTCTTTGTGCTTGTCATATTAAAGTGGAGGGGTTGTCGCGAGCATGTCCTTGAAACTTGAGTTCCAAGTGGCATATACAACAGATTGTTTATGTACATCAAAACACGTGTTCTGTGTAGTCGTAATATGGCCAAAAATAAAAACAGCCGTTATTCGGCCATCTTTGATCTGATTATGAAACACACTGATACCATTAAAATCCTATTATAAACCGCATACCTAATAGTAACCGCACCCCCGATTTCGACTTGAGTGTTAAAGAGTTCTCAACAAAAATTGAAAACATGAAAAGTACCTATTACTAACCGCACCCCCAATTCAACAAGACCGTGACCGACTTTGTTTCAACGAGCTGGTACATTGTTTCTAATCCTATTCATTTGTTTCAACAACATGCCTAAAAATATTCACACCTCTTTATTGTTCAGTAGTGTTAGGATGTCAAACACGCAGTGAAATTGCTTTTGTCTTGTGACAACTTTTGTCAATACTCCTTATGAATACGTCCGTGTGTCGTAAGTTTTCGACAATGAGCTGTTCTCACCGAAAAACTGTTAAATTCTTTTTCAATGCTCAGTTTATCTTTCGAAAACAACTAATTTCTTGATTTAAAAAAAAAGTCATGTCGTTTTCCCATGGAAATCAAAGCCAAAAGATCGCACTACATTATCGGTAAATCGCTTCCGGGTTTCGTTCACCATGAAGTCGGTGACCTGTCATTAACATATTTAAATGAACTAAGGTAATTTGAACACGTGGGCACCATCCAGTATTTTGATTGGTTAATTAGCGACTTGACCTACCCGGTCAAGTAATGTCTCGTGTGCATTCAAACTACATGGCGGATGTGGCATCGATCGTTTACATGCGACCGAAATAATTCGCTTACGGTGAAACTAAGTTGAATTTTACTTGCATTTGATAACAATTCAACGAATTTATTTTTCGTGCGTTGTTATAATCACTACTGAGTAATAATCAACAATTTCAACAGTTCGAAAACAAGTTATTCACTTGTGAGCCGAAGCATGACCGGATTGCAGTGTTCTCCCCAGGC